TAAGAAGTGTCTGCCTGGGCCTGTGGGAGGGTGCGATGGGAGTATGATTAGGGTATATTTGTTTTGAGAAAAAATCTAAATGGAGAAATCCATGAGGTTTAGTAAGGGTAGTGACAGATCCAATGGTTTTGCCATTGTCACTGGAGAGAGATTAATGATAGTGGGTCATAGATCAATGTGCAGCAGTGGATCACAAAAGTCTAAAGAAACTGCGCAAAATTATTACTATAATGCCATACCATACCATTTTATTTATAAAGCACTTAAAACAGCGACAAGGCCAACCAAAGTGCTGTGCAGACTGAACAACAGGTAACACACAAAGCAAAATACTAAATGAAGTAAATCAGAATATAGACATAAAAACGATGCAGATAATGACGACTAACCAGTGTAGAGCATACAGGTTCAAAACACAGATCATCTAGTGTTGAAAGCTACCGAATTGTAGTGGGTTTTTAAACGGGACTTGATAACCGAGAGGGAGGGGGCCTGTCTGACAAGCAGAGGCAACTCGTTCCAAAGTCTTGGTCCTGCTACAGAGAAGTTCCTGTCACCCCTGCGCTTAAGACGAGTTCCTGGAACTGTGAGGAGCAACTGGTTTGCTGACCTCAGGGAATCTGGTGGGACATACGGTTGTAGCAGATCAGAGAGATGGGGGGGGGGGGGACTGTTCATTGATTTGTAGACATACAGGAGTATTTTGAACTGGATTTGAAAGTGAACTGGTAACCAGTGCAGTGAGGCCAAAACTGTTGTAATGTGCTCTCTTTTGCCTGTACTGGTAGAATCTGTAAAGGACCAAAATGATTTATTAAAATGGACAGTAAAGTTTTATGTGCTCTTTATATAGGCTTAGTTTTTAATTTGTTTTAAATGTTTTTTTTTTTTAGTTTCTAAGTTATTTGTTTACCGTTTGCTGTTTTATGATTTTGGCAGTTCATGACTTTTAAAATCTGTTGATTTTATGGGGTTTTTTTTTTTTTACTTGATTGTATGTGTTAGTGTACAGCACTTTGGCCAACAGAATTGTTTTTAAAGTGCTTATAAATTAAGTTGTATTGCATTATTTACAGTAAATTCTGAACAACCAAATGAAATCGTCTTGGAGCAGGAAGTGAAGGCTGCAGAAGAGGCAGAGAAGTAAATGTTTGTCTGCTGCAAAGATATTTTATCAAAGGAGGTTCCATCTGCCTCAAAGGAAGTCAATAGTTCAAGTTAACTCAGCTTTTGAACCCTCAACTATATGTCATTAGGTCTCTGACGGTGAAACTACATCTTGTGCCAGTTACTTCCACACCCACACAACCGAAAACAGCCTCAGGCAAAACCTGGCCCCTGCCAAACAATAAGAAAACAAATAAGATGAAAACACCATGGTAAAGGTGTTTAAGTTCATCTGTATATTAATTTGGATATGAGACTCTCTGATCCATGGAAAATATAAAGAAAATGTTATGCTTCCCAGGTAAAAAAAAAAAAAAACAGATTTAAAAGACAATAAAAATGGAATGGGATTTGTATTAGTCACTGCTGAGCTCTGAGCTCGTTACAGTGTTTCTTCTCCCTAATCCAGCTGCAGCATTTCACACAACCTCCATTGTTCCATTTCCTCTGCTCCATGGCTCTAACATGCAGCTTATCACCATCCCCTTTGAATAATCACGCAGTGGCAAGATGACATTGGAGGTTGCATAAGCTTTTACCATTATGCTTGCAAGGGTTATTTGTCATCATTTCTCCACACTCCCATCTGCTCTATGAGGAAAATAATTGATTTGTTTAGGGTTGGCTGCTGTTCGTTTTGCATAAGAGGCAGCCTAGGACAGCTTACTGTATACGTTTTTTAAAGGGACTTTACATTTGATCTTCTGCTCTCTGTTCCATTCTCTTTCATCCTCTGTAAGCTCTGCAACAGTTTGTATCTGCTCGAAGAGTGTGATTTTTTTAAATATTTTTATCTTTTTTTTTCTTGCTGCGTGAGCCTGTAGTGGATATGGTTGGTGATTTTCTAAATTTGTTATTGCCAGCAAATCTAATGGAGAAACCCCAACCAGTAACAGATTGGTTATCTCTCAGAACGCTCTGTATTGAAAAGCTTTCAGCCCACAAATTCACTGATTACTGTTGAAGTAAATACTTCACACATAAGAAACTGGTCAAAAAAATTTTTGATCATAATTATTGGTGCCTCTGAAATGTGTGAAAATGTTTGGAGTGAAAAGACTGTGATACGTGCATGCTGTGCTCAACAATCTTTTTTTTTTTTTTTTTGGGTCTCCTTGATGAATTTAAATAGGCTCCACATAATAAGGGGGCAAATTGGACTCATCTGAGCCTAATTTGCTTTTTAAATGAACTAATTTAACCAACAAATGGATGGTTTATTTAAAAAATGAGCAGATTGTATCCAAATTCTATTTCATAATTGCCAACGTGAGAGTGAGACACAGTTGTTTGGTAGTCAGTGCCACGGTCTCGTGATTCAAAGACAGCAGATTTGAGCCCAGGTTGCATCAGAGAGCGCATCCTGCAAAAAACATTTGCCAAAATTTCCATGCAAGTTTGCTTGCTGTAATGACTCCTGCAAGAGGGAGCAACTGAAGGAGAGAAGGAATTACCAGATATCTTAAACTATTTTCAGTCAAATTATAGTAATATCAAGATGGTTTGCAGCCATAAACTTGTCAACATGTTCCCATAAAATCACCTTAGAATTTATTCATAGAAAAAAGTTGATGAATTCTAACACATAAAATTAAATAAAAAAGACACCGAATACATTCAGCTTTGATTGAAGTACCGTAATCTGAAGAGGGATACTACAGATGACACCACTACTGAAGCTCCTACAAAATGCAGTGAATAATTTAGTTTATAAGTGAGGCCAATATATAGTGCTTTATACAGCATACTTTACATAGTTTAATGCACCTGTGTCCAATTCTGGTCCTTGATGGCCACTATTCTGCATGTTTTAAATGCATACCTGCTCTTCAAAGGGTCTTCAAGTTTTGCAGCAGCCTTTTAATGACTTATTAATTCAAATCAGGTGTCAAACCAGAGAAATATCCAACAAATGTAGGATAGTGGCCCTCAAGGACCAGGATTGGACAGCACTGGGTTAATACATTTTCCACCAACAATTTCTATTAGTATACAGGTATGTTGCAAAACACAGAGAAATTAGTTGCGCATATTGACCATAGTTTAGTGATGTTGGCTTGTCTGAATTGAATTCTGACTCTCACCAAGTCTCAGTAAGGTCCTAAGTGGGTGAAGCTATTTTTGGATTGGTAATATCCTCCCACTTTAAACTCTGAGTAATAGTTAACTAATCAAAGCATTGGATTTCTCTTTTCTAGTCTTGTTATATTACAAACAAGAAACACAACGTCCTCAGGACACTGGACAAAAAAAAAAGATACAAATAGTTTATTGCTCACACAAATTGCAGTTCTAACCCAGAAGATGGGTCACCGGTTCAAATCCCAAGACTGACAACATCAAATTGTGGATGTGACCCACACCTGCCTCCACCCTCATTTGCTCAATCTGGGCCCTTGAACAACGCCCTGTAAAAATCATTGTATTATAACGGATTAAAATTGTGTTGTCTTATCAGACACACAAAGTAAAAGAAAAAAAAAAAAACAAGATAAAGTGACTTTACCAAAAAAAATACAATTTCTGGGAACTCACTGATAACCTCCATTTTTCAGTGGAGGACTTTGTATTTGCATTACAGCCGTTGTGTTGTGGTAGTAGATGTGTTTGGACCACAAGCTTGAGGAAGCTTTCCATTAGGACTTGCGAAATAGCTTTTTGCAATTTTATTTCAGAACTTTGATATGAAATGCTGAAATGTTATCAGTACACACAAAGTTTTGAATTCTCAAGGCATTTTTAGGCATTCTTATGAGTATGGTTCATTTTTATAGAGGAAGGTGCTTCAAAATATGATATGCATGGAGGCATAAAACTAAATGCACACACCATCAAAAGGTTTGCTTTCGTGGCAATTTTGGAAAGGATGCGTTGAATTTTTTGAGCAGTTACTAAGTAAAATCTATATATGACATTTACTGTGATGCTTATTACCAGCATTGCTTATTGCACTGCCCTTTTAAACTTGTGCATGTTCCACCACATTTTCACAGACTCCCAGTTCACAAACATGAAACACTAAAGTAGCCATCCAAAAAAGTTCAATCTGGTCCTCTGGACATTCAAAAAAACAACA